TTTGAAAGCCACACTCAGGACAGCTTCCTCAGGCAGACACTGCTGAGGACATGGACCTTCTCCAAGTTTCCTATGACTAAGTAAACTTATCCTTGTCCATAGATGGAATTAGTAGGAGGGACCCAACTATCTGCAGAGCAGATAAAATACTGTAGCAGAAAGGAAGCATCCTTCCTCCTCGTCTCCCCTGTCAATGCAGCAGTTTCTCCTATGATGTCAGGTGCCCTTTCATTCATTCATTCACTCATTTAACCAATAAACACTTCTTAAACATCTACAGTGTGCCTGGCCCTGTGCTGACGTTCAGATATGGAAATGGGTCAAGCATATACTCGCCTTCAAGAGGCTCCCAGTCTATTGGGAGACGTTCCTATTTGACCAGCCCTGACAGAAGGGGAAGGCTAGAGTCAGAAAGTTTGTGCAGGGCACCGTGGACACAAAGGCGAGGTCATAATTTGGGTGTCAGGAAGGCTTCACAATGTTGATGCCATTTAAGCTGCATCTTGAAAGTCTTCAAATGGCAGAGGAGGGAGGGGAAGCTTTTCTGACACAAGGAACAGGTGAGCAAAGGCACAAAGTATAAGGGTGCATGGTGTGTTTGGGAAAGGGAAGGAGACCAGGGTTTCTGGAATGTGATATCTGCAGCTGGGTTATGTTGGCCTGTTCCCACTGAGTCTCCATCACTAAAATATGGATTTCTTGGGGTCAAGCTGTGCATTATCCCCTTCTGAATTTCCAGCACCTACTCAGAACTCGGCAAACTTTTTCCAAGTGAATGAGTAAGAGAAAAGGAGAATTAGTGTGTATTAGGTACTAACTATATGGGAGGCATTGTACTGAGTGCTTTACTTATATGCAGTGATGATGATAATAAGGCTCATATAAACCTTATGGATTTGATATTATCATTATTGTTAATATTATTATTATTATCCCCCTTTAATAGGAAATGACTAAACACAGAGGCGTGAAATAACTTGCCCAAGATCACACAGCTAGTAAGAGGCGTATCTGGTCTTCAAACCCAGATCTCTCTCAGATGAATGTACTCTCCTTCTTCATGTCTGTCTCCCCACTATCCTAGGGGCCAAATCTGTGTCAACTGCCTGTAGTCTGCTCTCTTAAATGCTGTTCTCTCTCTGTAGTGAGAATGGTAGGAGAAGGAGGGAGCGGCCAGGTGGTAAAGAGCCTTGACTACCAGGCTCTGAATCCTGGACTTGATCTTAGAGATGATGAAGGTTTAACATAAGCCAACAGGCGAATTCCCTAGCAGTCCAGTGGGTAGGACTCGGAAATTTCATTGCGAGGGCCTGGGTTCAATCCCTGGTCGGGAAACTAAGATCCCACAATCTGTGCTATGCGGCCAAAACTAATAATAATAATAATAAGCTAGCAGATGTGGTCTGAGTCCTTTCAATACTTAGCATGAGGTTTGCCATGGACTTAGAAGCCAGGAAAACATTTTGGGGAAGGGGAAAATGGAAATCAAAACTCCTTTGTTCTGTGTCAAGATGGGCACAAACAGATATCTGAGAAGTGGTGAGTGGGACAAACGCCCTAAAGGGTTAAGGCTTCCTCCACCGTGACAGTCTCAAACATCTGGCTCTCTTCTATTCTCTAAATTTAGAACAACTAGCTATCCACTTCCTCCTAATCAAGATAAGGTCAGGGCTGAGAATGCAGGCAATTGTGCTAGGTCATTTAATTGCCTTCCTCTTGAAAACCTTGAGCCAGCCATAGGGAAATTCTCTAGCCAAGGCAAAGAATAAAGGTCAACAAGCGTGTGGCCTTCTGATGCCTTTTACAGATCCGAGGAGCCACAGGAGAAATCAATTCCAGTCACACAAGTTGCAAAATTCTTTTAAAAAGTGGAGCCAATATTTTTAAGATTCTCCAGGTCATGGAAAAATATATACTAAGAACATGACAACAATACCAAGTGTCTCCAACAGCATGAAATTTACTTCTCATTGTTGTCTAAGTAAAACCAGACTAATTCAATCGGGGCTATGTTCCCTAACCCACCATAAAATCATCTGTTATGAAGTATTAATGGGAAAAATAAGATGACTAGTCATTTCTACTTTTCCTGGATGCCCACAATTTTTTTATTAACCACGATCCCTTTTTCAAAGCTTTTTTTTCTGACTATAAAAGTAATACATATTCACTGTTGAAATTTTGGAAAATAAGGAGAAAAACAAAGAAATAAAAATCACTATAACCCACCATTAACAACTCAGGTTTTTTTTTTTGGTAACAAAAATTGAGGTCACACTGTGTATAGAATTTTATATTATTTTTTCATTTAGCATTTGTCAGTAGCTTAATCCTACATACATAGTATTCTTCAAATACATCATTTTTATCATTTATATCAGATTGATCAGCGTGGATGTGCCATAATTAATTTAACTAGTCATCAAGCTGTGGACACTCAGGCTGTTTCCAGTCTTCTGATTTTATAAACGAATGTGTAAAATGTCTTGATACAAATATCTTTGTCCTACTCTCTAAGGGTCTCTTTTTGAAGTAAAATTACTAAACCAAGGGGTATGAAGAACTTAAGGTTCTTGATAGATATTGCCAAATTGCCTTCTATTTGTTCAACAAATATTAATTTGGTGCCCAGTGCCAAGCATGGTTCTGGCCACTGAAGAGACCACAGACAATGAGACAAACTTTCTGCCCTAGGGAGCTATATTCTAACATGGTACCAACTTATCTTCCCACTAGCCATGTATGAGAATGCCTGGTTCCTCCTCCCCTCATCAGCATGATGCTCTTTTAAGAATCAACCTTGGGTAACACAGTAGTCAAAAAGTGTTCTTTCAACTATTGTTTTAATTTGTTATTTTCTGATTAACATATTTTCCCATGGATGTAGCAATCATCTCCACCTGTGTGCATGAATTGTCCGATCATGCTCTTTTCTTGTATTAATACATTTGCCTCTTCTTATTGGTAAAAGTTTTAATATATTCTAGATGTTAACTTGCTGCCTGCCATATTTTATGAATATTTCTCATTGGCATTCTGGATATCTATGATGCTTTCTAACTTCATTTGGCAAATCTTGAGCACCTCCCAGGCATGGGGGATGGAACTGTGGACAGAAACATACATGGTCCCTGGTGGAACTGGTAGCGCCATAGGGGAGACAGACCTGCTTTATGAGAGAATGAGGCACGGGAGTGAGGGACAGTGTGCGAGGACCCATCTGGTGGCTGAGGGGCGGCTGGTGTCTTAGGGAGGGCTCCTGAAGGGTGGAGGCTGACAGAGGGAAGTATCCAGGGAGTGCTGGACAGGAAAAACCTACAAGGAGTGAGGGAAGCAGAACAAGAACGCGGAGGTGCTCTCCGGTAAAGTCTAACTGGTTCCTGATCCACAGCTGGCTCGGGAGCATAAATTGCACAGCAAAGTTTCTCTCCTCGAGGTCAGGGTGGGAGGCCTTTTGTGAACCCACCCAGATCATGGTTAGGAGATGCTTGTGGAGGGTGGGGGAATGTGACCTCCCTGGGTGGGGGAATGTGACCTCCCTGGTAGATGCTTGTGGAGGGTGGGGGAATGTGACCTCCCTGCACAGCTCCCCGGAAGAGGCAGCTGTGGTGTCAGCAGTCAGCGCTGCTGCTGCAGCTGGAGACGGATGCAGGAGACTGGAGAAGGGGTCTGCGTGGGGCACTGACAGTGTGTCCTACACATGTCAGAGAAGCAGAAAGGCCAGGGTCGCAGGAGAGGTATGGGAAGGGCAGGCAGCACGATCAAGATTGCAGTTAGCAGAAAACTCTTTGGCTTCAGTTGGGAGAATGGACTGCAGGAGTCCAGGAATGACCAAGAAAGTCTGGGGCTTGCAAAATGCTTGATCCCTCACCCTGAAGAGTCACTGTGACCATGACTGTCATACCAAAGAGAAATCCTGTAACATAGAAACCTGATTAACATTGTTCAAATCCACATTTCCCAAGAAATCGCAGAGGAACAGGTGAGCAGAAAGGACAGCAATAACAATATAAAGGGCCAACTCCAGGCGAGAGATAGAGGCCTAGACTATGGGGGCTCAGAACTGCAGAGAAGTGGGTATACTGAAAACATATTTAGGAATTAAAAACCACAGTATTTAACTGAAGATTGGATATGGTGCAAGAGAGAGGGAAATATCAAGGACAACTCCTGGATTTCTAATTTGAGCATCTGGATGGCGACGCATCATTCTTGGAGAAGGACTGGGTCAAGTGGAAGGCTGGGGGTGGGGGTGGGGAGAGGACCATGCGTTTGCAAATAACAGTTATCCTTAGACATTTTTAGGTTAATAAATGCCAGCAAAATGTGGAGCCATGAGAAGAGCCCTGGACTAAAGACTTGGGTTCTTGATCCAGTTCTACCAACAAATAGAGAAGGTCCCTCTACCCCACTGAGCCTCAGTTTCCCCACCTGAAAAATAGAGACAATAAGTCCTATTCTAACTACTTCACGCCACTGCCATTTTGATCAAATAAATGGATAGAAATTAAAAAATAGATAAACAGCAAGGACCTACTGTATAGCACAGGTAACTATATTCAATATCTTGTAATAACAAACAGTGGTAAAGAATCTGAAAAAGAATATATATATAATACATATATACATATATAACTGCATCACTTTGCTGTATACCTGAAACTAACACAACATTGTAAATCAACTATACTTCAATCAAAAAAATAAATTTTAAAAAATGTGTGCTAATTTATAGACTGCAACCAAACACAAAGGTATTATGGTGATTATCACTAGCAGCCATTAGAGGGCGCCTCAGCCATGACACCCCAAGGAATTAAGTCAGAGCAAGACAGGAGGCCAACAGACCCAGAGACATAAATTTAGGTGGTGGCTATGTTATAAAAACAATTATACAGGTTCATTTACAATCATCCTAACAACATTTTGTTTCAGGCAGGAAAACTTTTTTCTCTGTCATTAATGTCTCTCCCTCTTATTCACCTACTGCTTTCAACCAGGGTCACCCTACCCCCATCGAAACCTGCTCTCAAGAAATCATCCACTGATTGGCATTAAAGAAAAAGTGCCAGTAACGCCTGAAGTGTTTTCTTCCCAGGGCGTGTGCCCCTCCTCAGCAGAGAATCAAATCCTCCGCCAGAGGTAAGGCTTTCTAACGGTGGAATTGGGGGGCAGGGAGCACATGCAGAGAGGGACTAAAGTGAAGCAAGCCAGACACAAAAGGACAAATACTGTAGGATTCCACTTCTGTGACAGAGCTCAAGTGTCAAAGTCACGGAGACAGAAAGCAGAATGGGGGTTGCCAGGGGCTGCGGATAATGGAGAGCTAGCATTTGATGGGTATAGAGTTTCAGTTTTGCAAGATGAGAAGAGTTTTGGAGATGAATAGTGGTGATGTCTGCACAACAATGTGAATAATGCCATTGAACTGTACCCTTAAAAATGGTTAGGATGGTAAATTTTTTTGTGTATTTTACCATAATAATAATAAAGAGGTATTGAGAAGGTGCAGGGTCACATCATTATACATTTGTCAAAACCCCTAGAACATACACCACCAAGAGTGAACCCTAATGTAAACTATGGACTCTGGGTGATAATGATGTGTCAGGGTACGTTCTTCCATTGCAACAAATATACAGTTGACCCTTGAACAACGGAGGGGTTAAGGGAGCTGACCCTGTGCATATTTGAAAATCCGAGTATAACTTATAGTCAGCCCTCCATCTCCAAGTTTCCTCTGTTATCTGTGGTTCCATATCTGGTGATCCTATAGTACTATAGTATGTACTATTGAAAAAATCCACACATAAGTAGACCCATGTAGTTCAAACCCATATTGTTCAAGGGCCAAATGCATAACTCTCATGCTGGGTGCTGACAGTGAGGGAGGCTGTGCATGTGTAGGGGCAGAGGGTATATGGGAAATATCTCTGTACCTTCTGCTCAATTATGCTGTGAATCTAAAACTGCTCTAAAAATATTTTTTAAATAATCATAATAATAAAGAGGTATTGAGGAGGTTTGTGGTGCTTGTCCTGGTGCTCAGGCAATCACACCCCACAGATGGAGCCTTCTACCACACACACACACACACACACACACACACACACACGCACGCACGGCCCTGCACAGCCTTCTGTAGTCAGCTAGGCTAGGAGCTGGTCCCAGTCATTTGGGCCCATTTGGAGTTCACTCTGGAGCTTTTAATATTCAAAGGAATTTTTGTTCTCACTGTGGAACCATTTCTCATCCCATTTAGCTCTTACATAAGACATACTTTGGATCTGATATATGGGAAAAAAAATTACCCATTTTATTCATTTTGAATAAACTAAAAATAACTATCCTCCCCATTTCCTGGAGCCAATAAAGACTGTTTGGAAAGGACAGAGGAAAGAAAGACATGAAATATGAAAAAGAACCTCAGCCTGGGCCTACAGAAGCCTGGCTTTAAAATCTGGCTCTGACCCTCAACTGCTGTGTGACGTTGGGCAAGTCCCTGCCCCTCTCTGGGTCTCAGGCGCCTCATCTACCAAATGAGAGGATTGTGTTGGAACAGCCGGCCTTTGAGATCCCTTCAACTCTGACATCCTACTTTTCTGAGAGAAGTAAGACAAGGAGTTGAGGCATCATATTTTGCTAGCCATCCAGGAAATGAATCATTTTTACTATTCAGAAACTTTTCCAAATTGATTTTGATGTGATCCTGTGTGATAAGAAATAGCTAATGTCACCTCTCTTCCCATTCCTGTTCTAATGTCTAGAAATAGTCATTAAGTCACAGTTTCTACTTCCTCACCTCCTGCTAACTCCCCAGCAGTCTAGTTTCTGACTCCTCAATCCTTTGCAACTGTTCTTGTCAAGGTCACCACAACCTGTGGCGGAATCAATAGACATGTCTCAGACTTTTGCTTCCTCCCCGCACCTCTCAGAAACATTTCAACACAGGGGACCTTCCTATCTTTCTCAAGACACTCTTCTCCCTGGGGCTGAGAGGAAAAATGACTTTGCCCTCCCAGAGACCCAAGTGTCAAGGCCAGGACTGTACCCACAGTGTTGGTGCCAAAGCCTAGTGCCTCAAGCCTGCAGGTACCACAGCATCACTTGCAACCATTTGCCTTCCCATTGTCATCATTTTGCCACCAAGTTCTAGATTCTCTGGGCGATTCATTCATTCACTCATTCATCAATTGTTTATCGAGAGTCAACTATTTACTGGCACTGTATTAGGCAATGGGAATACAGTTGACCGCTGCACAGCATGGGTTTGAACTTTGCAGGTCCACTTATATGCAGATTTTTTTCTATAAATACTACACAACTACACAATCCATGGTGGGTTGAATCTGAGGATGTGGAACTCCAGAGCTGACTGTAAAGTTTTACTCTGATGTTCGACCCCAGAGGGAATGGGCTCCCTTAACCGCCCCCTACCTCATGTTCAAGGGTCAACTGTATGGCAAGACCTGCATGACCCCTGTCCTCCTGGAATTTATAATTCAGTGGAAGAGTCAGGCATTGAGCAGGTAAGTACAAGATACCTGTGTAGTTACAAATGCGATGAGTTCTCTGAAGAAAAGGACCAGGTGCTATGAGAGAGGAGAGCGAGGGGGGACCAGCAGGATGTGCATGAATGCCACTTGGAGGGAGTGATGGGCGACGCTAAGATCTGAAAGAGGGGGAGGAGTGCTCCAGGCAGAGAAAACGCTGTAGTGGCGGCCTGCTGGGGGGGCGGCATCTTGAAAGGGCAACCTGGGGAATGTGGCATGGTCCTGTACCAACAGCACCCTGTTTTTACCTAGATAAAGGATTTTGGAGTGGCCTTGGAGGAGCAGAGGAAGACTCTGGAGGAGCTACCCCCAGCCACCCCTTGGCACCACTACTGGGGCCAGGGCCAAAGGAGGTTGCAGCTGGACCACTTAAGGGCCTGAAAGGGGCCAGAGAAAGTGAGAGGGCAGAGCAGTGTGGGCGGTGTCTGAGGGCTGGATCCTACAAGACCTGGGAGGAGGCCCCAAAGAGTCATCTGATTCTTGCTTTAGAAAAATAGTGTTTTGATCTGCAGAGACTCATGGGTGGGGGGCAGAGGGCAGAAGGGGAACTCATGGAGGCCAGTTCTTTTGAGATGACCCTGCTTATCTTCACCAGGCACAGAATTAGAAATATTCTGCCATTAGGAGAGAATAAAACCCTTTTCCTCAGCTTCCTTATGAAAGGCAGACGCTCCCATCATTATGAAGCCCTGAGGACCCTTTGAGGTGCCCTGGTCCCACCTCCCCAATGCACAGATGAGGAAACCAAGGCTGGCGAGGTGCAAGGCCACCCAGGCAGGACCACGAGCGCAGCAAGTGGCACAGGTGGGATTCTGCTGGCCTCCAAAATTCACACCTTCGCCATGCATTGCCCTTGGATGCCACCTCGACCAACCCATTTTCTTTTACAGGTAAGGAGACTGAGACTCAGAGAGAAGGTGGCTTTTCAAGGGCTGTAACCTGATCCCTAGAGGCTCATCTCTGCTCCTTCCCCTGCTCAGAGCTGCTTCCTTGTGGGTAGCAGAAGAGAAAGTGTCCCCTAAATAAATGCCATTACCACTGGGCTGTGAACAAAACAATGTCCCCATGGCTGGGGGCAGCCTGGGGCCATGTGAGGAAGTTGCTTCCTTGGAGCAACTGGTGTGGGAGCTGGAGCATTTGCTGGCCACCCGCTCTCCCAGGAACAGAAAACTCAGGAACCACGTTGGGCAGGAGCCCGTGGGAACGAGGCCTACACTCCCCTCTCCACGGGCCCCCTCAGCCACTGATTATGCTCCCAGTGAAAGCCCTGCCGAGCAGAACATCTGTATTGCGCAGGGAACTGGCGCCGGGGCGGCCCGGCTGCCACAGGGGCTCGGCGGGAGTCCACCAGTTCTGGGGCTGTCACCTCTGACCCCACAGAGACCGTGTCTCCCAGGGTCCACATTCTGACCCTGGAAATCTGGAGCAAGTTAGGGGAAATTTAGACAGATGTTGCTTTTTCCAGTTTCCTGTGGAAATTAAGTGACACAGGGAGGCATATCATTCAGGGGAGGAGATGAAATATGTGAGGAGAACAGAGGAAATAATATATGAGGTGTTTGTTTGCAAAGCAGTTGTCTCTTCCTTGCTCAGGGCTTGTCAGAAGGAAGTTGATCTCTCACAAGGCAGTAACAGCAAAGCAAGTCCTTCTTTTTCTAGAGAACCTCAACTCAACCCTCATGGACCAACTCAGGCCCCCTGCTTCCCACCTGCCAAGGCAAAGTGGTGGCTGGGTTCACCCATCACCCTGTACACACCTTCACAGTAATCTTGTGACTTGGACTTGGAGGACAATTAGTCATTATATCTGACTCCCTGCTAGGCTTCGGCGGATACTGTGCCTTAATCATCTCATAACCACAGTGCCAAGTAGAGGGCCTGGTACAGAAGAATAACCCACTAAATGTTGGAGAACTGGATGGGGGGGGAGAGAAATGGAAGAAAGGAAGGAAAAAAGTAGAAAGAAAGGGGGAAATACAGGTTTCTTCAGGGTATTTGCAAGTCCCTAACTCTTCCCTATTGATCTGAAGCCAACACCTGCCTCTTAGAATTAACACGCCTCAAGAAAATTCATTCATCAGGCTGGAATAAGGTTGAGCTGAGCACCACAAATAACAGTGGCTTAAAGAAGATAGGAGTTCATTTCTCACTCACATAAAAGTCGTCCTGAGTCTGAGGAGGCTGCTCTTTGAAGTCATCACAGGCCCAGACACCTTCCATCTTGTTGCTCTGCCATTCCAGGGGTGTTGTACTCATACTTGTGCTCCAAAATGGCACACCACCAGGTCCACAGCCAGGGCAGGGGCAGAGGGCAAGGAAAGACACACTCTCCGTTGAAGAGCATGACTGCATTTTGAGTGCATCGCTCCCCTCACCTCCCAGGGCCACACTTAACACAGGGCAGGCCAGGATTTATGGTCTTAAGCTGAGCGTCTGTGTGCTAAGGTTCTATTCCTATGAAAGAAAGGGGAAATGGATTTTGGAAACAACCAGAAATCTTTTCCAAAATACCAAGTAACAGAAACTTTAAAAAACATATTTCAGGGACTTCCCTGGTGGCACAGTGGTTAAGAATCTGCCTGCCAATGCAGGGGACACGGCTTTGAGCCCTGGTCTGGGAAGATCCCATGTGCTGTGGAGCAACTAAGCCCGTGCACCACAACTACTGAGCCTGTGCTCTAGAGCCTGCGAGCCACAACTACTGAGCCCACGTGCCACAGCTACTGAAGCCCGCGCACCTAGAGCCCATTTTCCAAACAAGAGAAGCCACCGCAATGAGAAGCCCGTGCACCGCAACAGAGAAGCCCCCGCTCGCCGCAACTAGAGAAAGCCCACACGCAGCAACGAAGACCCAACGCAGCCAAAAATAAAGTATAAATTGATTTTTAAAAATCCCATATTTCAAAGCCCCAGTATTTTCATTACATATTTGACCATCCCAACAAACCTGTGAGGAAACTGAGGCTGGTGGGGTGTGGTGGGGGGTGGAAATGCCTTTGGGCAAGGGCACTGAGGGCAGTTAAGGAACAGGACAGAAACCTGAATGTGTGGTCTAACCTGGGATTTCAATTTAGACTCTCCCAAATGCTAGAAAGAGAGAAAGTGAGACAGGAAGGAAAGGGGCAGGGCACAACCATTAAAAGAATGACACAACCATTAAGAACAGGATACCACAAAAACTGGTTAGAACCTATTTAGCTCCAAGTTGGTGGAAGACTCGACTCCCAGCAGACCTTAAGCCTCACTATGCGCTCATTGTAATACATTGGCATATGTAAATGACATGCCCACAGGCGCCGTGACAGTTCCGAGGCTGACCATAAAAGGTCAAGAAGTGGGCAGTGCCCCAACTCCTGGAAATCCCTGCCCCTTCTCCAAGATAGTTAGAATATTCCTCCTACTCATTAGCCTATGAAATTACCCAGCCCATAAAAACTAACCACACCCACACCTCAGTGCCAGTCTCACCTTTTGAGACATACCACATTCTGTATATGGAATGTGTACCTCTCAGGGCCGCTCTTGCCTTCTGAGATGACCCACGCTCTGAGCATTCAGGGAGTGTGTATCTCCCCGAATAAACCTGCTTTCACTTTACTATGGCTCGCTCTTGAATTCTTTCCTACTCGAAGCCAAGGACCCTCACTTGGTAGCCCACCCCAGGGACTCACTCAAGACCTGGGACGTGACCCTCCGCTTGCACCCCATTTTTTCCTACAACAAAAGGAAGCTGAGATCACGCAGGTGTTTACGAGAGATCTGGGGGTCTGAGTTGAACCCCAGCTCAGTGTATCTGCTGCTGTATGTCTGTCCCCAGAGCTAGTGTTCAGAACAAATGGGGGAGTGGTCAGCTTTCCCCAGGCTGGTCAGGCTGCACCTGGAATGCTGTGTTCTGGGGACCAGCCCTTAATGGGAACACTGAGAAACAGAGGATATCTGGGGCCAAGATGGGCTGGGAAGCGTCTGGATGTCACATCCTATATGGCAAGAACCACAGCTGAACATTGTGGAGAAGGGCAAACTCTGGTAGATGTAACTCCTTATCTTCTCATCCCTGTCATGAGGAGGACTAAGTGACCTCCTCCGCGTGACTCTGCAGAGCAGGACAAGGCAGTGGAAAGAAGTCACTGGGAAGCATAACCAGTTCCAAGAAAAGGGGGTAACCAGAGTGGAATGCAGGTGTGGCAGGTGGTGAGAGCCTGCAGGGCTCTCAACAAGGCTGGAGATGCTACAGAAAGGATTCTTCTAAGGCAGAAGTTTTTACCTGGAGGCTCCTGTGGGCGTGTGCCGTCAGCTGTGATTGTGTGCAGGGCAGCCACGTGCATACACATGCATGCTCTCCTAAAGATGGGGGCCATAGCTTCCTTGAGATTCTCAAAGGTGTCTGTGATCCAAGCAAGATTCAGTGGGCTGGTCACTGGGAACCTCCAGGGTCCCTGCCCACTCTAAGATCCCATGGCCCCAGTGTAGGTGCACAAACATCCCCAGGGATGAGGGATAAGGAAGCTGGATTTTTCCAGCTCTATGCCTCTGTCTACACCTCACTGCTGTTCTGTCCCAGTCCTGAGGCCCAGGGAATGACCTGGAGGGAGCCTTAATGACTGTCCAGACTTCAGTGTGCCTGAGAATCACCCAGTGAGAGTATTAACATGCAGATTCTGGTTCGGTAGGTCTGGGCTGGGGCCTGAGAGTCTGCATTTCTAATATACTCCCAGCAATGCCAGGGCTGCTGGTCCATGGCTCACGCTTCGAGTAGCCAGGGGCTGGTTGGGCAGTAAAGCTGGATGGGTAAGTGAAGAGGGGAAGCCTGGCACCCAGAGTCCTGGGCACAGGTCAGAGATCTGGTTCTATGAAGCTGGGCAGCAGGGGCCTGACCTCCCGGCTGCTCCCTCAGACCTTTAAGTTCCACTGGTTTTGTGGGCCTGGCCCATCTGAGCAGTTCTGTGCCACACTCAGCTGATGGTGCCAGGGTGGGATGGCACCAAGAAGAGGGAAGGAGGCCCCAAAGGCCAGCTCTGGCAACCGCATGCTGTCACACCCACTCTGCCCAGGCCACTGGCAGCAGGCTGGGACCAGGTCATTCTTTACGTGAACGAACAGAGCTTGGGGAGTGGTTGAATACCATGCCATAGTCAGATTAGCTTTTAGAAAGACAACTCTGCCAAGTGGGAAGGAGAAATTGAGACACTGAGGCTGAAAGGGAGGCCACTCAATGGGTTGTTTATTCCATGGCTCAGGCAAGAGAGGACCATAGGTTTGACCTGAGGCGACAGCAATGGGATGCAGGAAGGAAACTAAAGAGACGGCCCAGGGCTGAGCCTTCTTGGATGTGGGGAGTGAATCTAAATGTGAACCCCAGGCTTCTGGCTTATTTGGTTAAGTGCTGCTGCCATTCAGTGAAACAGGTGTAGCAGAACACTTCTGGTTACAATTGGCTGAAAACCTAATCAAACTGACCTTTAAAAAGAGGAAAAGTAAAGTGTACTGGTTCATATGACTAAACAACATGAGGGCAGATCTCAATCATTTCAGGCCCACCTGGATCCAGGGACTCAAACCACATCATCAGTATATTCTCTCTCCATCTCTTGTAACTCAGGTACTCTGCGCTGACTCTGGTCTTGACAGCTCCTCCTGCATTGTCACAAGATGGTCACCAGTCTCATGGTCACAAGGTGGCTGCCAGCCAGCACCTCTCGGAGCTATATCCTTCCAGGTTTAAATCTAACAGAAACAAATGAGAGCTTGTGTCCTAGCATTTGCATGAAAGTTCTGAGATTCACCATCTTAGGTCACATGCTCACCACTGAACCAATCGCTACGGCTGTGTTAACTGTCTTAGATCCATGAGTTTTGCTGGAGTCATACAGACCACAGAGACTAAGAGGGCAAGGGTGGATCCCAAAGAAATACTGGGGTTCTTGCCAGAGTAAAGGGAAGTAGAGGTCAGGGAGACAAACCACATCTTTCCAGCTTTGTGGACAGCAGGGGAGAAAGAATAGCAGGTTGGGGAAAGAAAAGATGACGAGCCCAGGGTAGAATGTGTTGTTTTTTCAGGGTGGATGGGACAGCCGGAGGGAAGTGCTCAGCGGGCAGCAGGTTGGGAGAGACCCAGGCTGGGGGGGAGATGTGCGAGTTGCCAGTGTGTACATGGCAAGAGAGAGGCTTAAGAGGGCGAGTAATGCCGTGGGCTTTGGAAACCATTCTGGGCTCCCTGTCTCAGGAACAGCACATCCAGTCTAGTGAACGTCTCTTCCTTCCTTTGCTCCTCAGGATTTGGTGGTGGGACAGCCGCTGCAGCCCTTAGGCAGGCAATGCCCCAGCTTCCATCTTACAGCTCTAGCTCTTTCTTCTTGTCTTAGATGCTTTGCACCTTCCTCTCCCTATGATATTAGGACCTGAATATATTTGACAGCTATCTGAGCTATGGATACAGCAAAGGCAAGAGATCGAAGCCAGGTCTTGGTGCCAGGCCACGATGTGACAGAGCCAGGACCCTTCAGGGCTGATGAGCATGTGCTGGGAATGACACAGGCCAGCACTTCACTAGAGACAGAAGGACAAGCAACTCCAAATGGGGATGACGTCGATGACTTCTCCCACCTCTGCTGGTAATGTTCTCCCATGCCCTCGTGCAGTGGGACTTATGACAGCACCAAATAAGGGAGGTTTGTGAAATGTTGCAACAGGAGGAGGGGACTCGGTGGCCACATAAGTCTTGTGGTATGGCCTGTCTCTGTGTCCTGGTGGCTTCCCAAGGATAATAAATGTCACTAGTGTCACTGCCAGCCAGTGTGTTCTCTAACTTCATTATTTTTTACCTGGTAGTTCCTGGGACACAGCTATTGAAAAAAGTCCTGCCAAAGTGTGCCTACCAGATTTCCGTTCTTCCCTCCTTCCTCACCATCAAAACCTTGAGTTTGTTTAGGATGGCAAAGTGCCAGCCAAAAAGCCCACACTTGTCGGCCTCCTGTTCAGTGAAGGGGTGACAGGACACAGGACTGGACGGAGACCGTGTGAATGTGGATATTACTCCACAAACATGTGCTCTCCTCTGCCGCTGGGGATGGAGGGTGAGTACTCACCCACTGATGCTGGACTTAGCTCCATGACTTCCTTTGGAGCGTTCGCAGAAGGAATAAGCAGAAACCTTAAGTTTGCTTGTGCAGTTTGGCTTGCTTGCTCTGATGACTCACCATGAGAAGAATCCTCCCCGGCTCATCTCTGCTTGTTCAGCCTGGGTTCCAGAACTAGTGCACTTGGAACTGACCTAGACCAAGACTGGCTGGCCCAAGTCTGGAGTGCTGCCCAGCTGAGCCTGGCCAGCTGAGTTTGGGGGTCGTTGTTACAGAGCGTTACTGTGGCAATAACTAATACAGAAACAGGAAGGGTCTTCTGGGAAAGCTCTTTAATGGCGGACGGACTCAGTTAGCAGGTCTTTTGCTCTTTACCCTTCTCATTCTCCTTGAATGATGACACACTAAATGCTTGGTGGGGGGTGGGGGAGCATATTACAACTACAGGGTGACAGGCACATGCTAAGCATGGTTGAATGGGAAGACAGAATGAGCACCATCCCTAACAGCACCACAAAGCCACCAAATCAGCCCTGAAATGCCTAACTCTGGACTTCCTCTTATGTAACAAAAATAAAGCCTTGAATTTGATTAAGCCACTGTTTTTCAGGTTTCTGATACTTGCAGCTGAATACAGTTCCTAACTGATGGACACAGGTAACCGTTGGCATTGAAGCCACATCTGTGTTTGAGATCTCTGGGGGAGAACATAAAGGGTCCCCTAGGATCCTGGGGAATGTGGCTCAAGGATGTTGGAAAGGAAGCCCACAGAAGTCTGGGTTGAGTGGAGAACTAAGAGATGTGGTAGCCAGGAGCCTACCTGGAGAGGAGGAGAAAATGCCTGGAGACAGGGGTGGACCAGGCCAAATGCAATGGTGAGATGCAGGAACATGAGGAAGAAAACTTATCAATGGATTTAGCAAACAAGAGGTCCTGGACCTTGGCAGGGGTAGTTCAGTGCAGCGTTGTGGACAGAAACCAAACCACAGAATGTGATAGAATCTGCAGCTCTGGGGGATGGACACTCAAGGGAGGATGATGCAATGGGAGGAAGCTGCCCCTCGGCCAGCTGCAGTCTTGTCCTGACTGCAAAGACCATTTTTCCTCGCTGCCTCCAGGATGACCTCTAAACTCCTCAGCTTGGCATCCAAGCCCCCCACAAGATGTGGACCCTGCCAGGACCTGGCCTCACCTCCCAGCCTCTCTTCCTCACATTCCAGTAACACCACTGCCCACCATTCCTGGCCAGGCTGCCCTCCCCTTGGACCGCCTTCCCCCTACCTATCCACAGGCTGCTCAGCCTTTCAGGATGGCACAGATGTCACCGCTCTCTGAGGAAGACGAGATCAGCCCTTTCTTCAGGCTCCTCCCATCTCTCTGTTTCCACCTTGAATCATAATCTCCTGGGTCCAGGTGGGAACAGGGTCTGTGTTGTCTGGCACTTGTACGGGGCCAGTAGCCTTGGTGAGTGTCATCAGGGGCCGGTGACAGTCTGCCCTCCACGAAGTTCCCAGGTCAGGGAGACCATGCGGGCATCTTCAAGTCCACATCTGTCCCTTCTACTCCCACAGAGAGGGCTTTCGAGAGATCAGGAAGGAAGCAGAACAATTAGCAGGGAAGCCTGAGGGCTTTCTTCCCTTCCTTCTCCTCTCTGAAGCCTTCCCAGGGGGCAGCTGCTTCCTCCCTCGCTTTTTAGAACAAGACGACATGATTGTGACCAAATTTAGAAAACAACCAAAAATTACAATAAAACACAACCCATGTTTTAAAATCCATTTTGACAGCTCCACCCCACTAAAAGGAACGTCTCTTCTGAGGGGTCAGCAGCACGAGCAACAGCAAGGCAGGCTGCCATGTCAGGGGCTGGGAGGCTGGTCGGGGGAAGGGGGCCCTTCTCACCAAAGACAGACCTACCGTATCAACCAACGGGTGGGATGATGAGACCCCAGGGGAAGGGCAGGGCCAGGCATGGGACAGAGGGGTCCAAATTCAAGGGAGCATCTTCTTGGCTTCTTGTTTCTGCCAACAGCTAGAAAGGAAGGATGTTCTAGAAGCCATCTCAGAGACCAACCACGGTGGTTGGACCCCTCCTTAGCACAATGCTACTTTTAGCACATTGTTGTGTGTTTTGTGGGGAACAGAGGGAAACCCAGGTAACCAAACAAACAGTGTCACCCACCTCATATAATAATAATAGCAACCAGGTACTGGGTGAGTACTATGTGCCAGGCAATGTGCTAGGAGGGCTTTCTTTTCCTTTTTTTTTTAATCATTGCTAGGAATTCTACATGAGTCATGTTGCATCAGAGAGATTATCACAAGAGAAAAAAAAAAAAGATCTTTGTGGGCCAGAATCAAGGAGATAAATTTGTCAGGAACAAATGTAAAGGTGTGATTTGCAAGTCTGGCATTCAAGAGGCAGTTTTAGTAAGGCTGCATTAATAAAGATAAAAAGGCCAGATTAAGGGAGGTGATAATCTCACTGAACTCAATTCCCATCAGTTCAAATGGGACCCATTCTCTCTGAGCCTCAGTGTCTTCCTCTATAAATTGAAGCTAGAAAATACCTCCTTTGTAAGACTGTTGTGAAGATTAAACAATGTATGAAAATACTAGTTCAGTGCCTTTTAAGTAGCACGCTCTTAATAAATGGCAATGACCATAACTGTTAAAAACTTTGGCATTTAAAATGGAGTTGCAATTTTCTCCCAGAGGAGGGAAGAATCTGGAGGTGCATATTGTTGTCACACATCTACACCCCTGTTATAGGCAGAGGAAGGAGACTAATTCTGCATTTCCCCAAAGGACAGAACCACGTTCATTTGGCAAAAGCTAATACTGAGCCAATTCCAGCCAAATAAAAGGAATTGTAATAATGAAAAAAGACTGGAAGGAAATGCTTCCAAATGGTGCTGTCATTGGGTTGTGAGAACTTAAGTGATTTCTTTATATTCTTGCATAGTTTCCAAATTTTCAGCTGAGCATATATATTTTTTAATAATCTGGAAAAAATAAAGTGTTTAAAAAAAAAAAAAAGAAGATGGGACTTCCCTGGTGGCGCAGTGGTTGGGACTCCACGCTCCCAATGCAGGGGTCCTGGGTTTGATCCCTGGCTGGGGAACTAGATCCCATGTGCATGCCACAACTAAGAGTTTGCATGCCACAACTAAGGAGCCGGTGAGCCGCAACTAAGGAGCCCTCGAGCCACAACTAAGGAGCCTGCCTGCCACAACTAAGACCCAGCACAACCAAATAAATAAATAAATAAATATTTAAAAATTAAAAAAAAAAAAAGAGACATATCAGGAATGCTGTAGTAGAAGTGGGAGACCAGACTTGATTTGAGATTCTGCCAAATGTGAATCTCATTTCCAAGCTTCAGAAAACTGAAATCTGGGACTTCCCCGGCGGTCCAGTGGTCATGACTCCACGCTTCCAATGCAGGGGGCACAGGTTTGATCCCTGGTCGGGGAACTAAAATCCCACGTGCCCTGAGGCATGGCCAAATAAAATAAATAATAGCTGTAATATTTTTTAAAAAACTACATTAAAAAAAACTGAAATTCATTCCCAATACAGGCAATGCAGTAGGAGGGCATCCTGCCCTCACCCTCAGAGGACAGGGAACAGGCACCTAACAAAGTACCACTTCCAGCTCCAGAAGCACAGGGACCGACTGCTCCAACAGAAGGTGTCACCCAGGGTCTCAGCAGCCTGTGAAGTGGGGAGGGAGCTTTCCCCCCAGCATTAGGGTGAGCCTGGTCTCCTCACTGGGCAAGTTACCATCAGAGTGTGGCAGAGTTAAGTCTTCCCTCAACTTTTGATTAAGAAAACCACCTTGGGCTGGATTCTAAAAGGCAGGAGTGAGAGGCAGGGGTGGGTGATGAGACAGATGTTGGTACCGGCAGCAGCAGATGTGGCTTCTGGGTCCAGCCTTGTCTCCCCTCCATGTGTGATGCTGGGTAAGCCCCTTCCCTCTCTGGGCCTTGGGGTCCCCACCTGTAGTTTCAAGAGGTTGGACAGAATGAGTTCAAAGCCGTTTTACAGCTCGGAATCAGCAGCTGGAAGCCACAGGCCCTTGGCCATACTTTCTTGAAGTCTCCATGGCCCAATGGACCTCGGAAGTCTTTCAATTCCATTGTTCTACCCCTGACCTTAATGAAGCCACATCTGGAGTATATCTCCTCTGATCCCTGTTTTGTACAGTTCCTCACAGCTGGATCCCCATAAATCAATTTGTTTTGCAGACAAGTTCCCAGAACTGTCCAGAATCCTACCCAGAAAAGGCAGTTTTATTTTGCCTGTTTCTGCTTCCAAAAGGAGTGAGCTGAGCCTAGTCTACCTCGGGACAAGCTCCCCAAGTCTTCCAAATCCCGTGGCCTGCTAGGGTTTTGCAGAGAGGCTGAGGCTATTGCTCCTGTCCCCTACCCACAGGCACAAAGGATGAACTGGCCTGGTGGCCCCCTTCTTGGCCGCTCTCGAGGAGCAGTGCCCCCACTTCATGGCCAAAAAATTGGACTGAAGTGACCCCCAACCCCCGGCTGCTCTTGGGTTCAAAGTTTTCCCAGAGATGAACTAGTTATGAGAGGAGAAGGGTTAAAAAACTAATTTCCAGGCTTCCCTGGCGGCGCAGTGGTTGAGAGTCTGCCTGCCAACGCAGGGGACACGGGTTCGTGCCCCGGTCCGGGAAGATCCCACATGCCGCGGAGCGGCTGGGCCCCGTGAGCCATGGCCGCTGAGCCTGCGTGTCCGGAGCCTGTGCTCCGCAACGGGAGAGGCCACAACGGTGAGAGGCCCACGTACCACACACACACACACACACACACAAAGCTAATTTCCTTGAGGATGGAGAGGGAAGGAGGACTAGGAACCATTAAGGACTCCTGCTTGTTTGTTCTGCCATAAGGCACTGAATCTAGGACTTCTATGAAGAGCAAACATTCTGCAGGCAGGAGTTGAGACACGTTTTTTCTGACGGCTGCTCTGGTCCTCAGGATATCTCTGGGATCGAGCAACAGAGAATCTGTGGCCAGGAAATGGCCCCTGAGCCCCCATTCTGCTGGGTGCCCTGAGCCTGCCTCATCTCATTTAATCCTCACAACCCCCTAGAGTTAGGTCCTAGCACTGCCTCTATTTTACAGATGAGGAACTGTGGCTCAGAGAGTTTAAGTAACTTGCCCGAAGTCACAAAGCTGGCAAGTTCACCAGACCAAATTTATATCCAGGTCTGTCCTTCTACATATCTCAATGTCTTTTAAATCTACCCTGACAAATAAAGCCAAACCTAGGCCCCTAATTGTTTCCCTACTAACAAGACTTTGAGCCCAGACTCCATTTGGGAGAATTTTTAGAGATAATTTTCAACAAATACACTTAGCTTAAGTACATGTACTTAAAAAGCCTAATAGTACTCAAGGTTTATAATAAAATCAGCAGTCCCCTGTCCCAATCCTACCCAGATCCGGCTCTCAAGAGAGCCCCTCCTCTCAACATTTTCAGCAATTTCTTCCAGTATTTGCCTCAGAACTTCAAATAACACATTAGCCCTGCTTTCTCACGATTTTTCAGTTTTAGACCATTATTACTGACTTCCTATTATGGAAAATGAAGTTTCTCTTATACCATTTCTCTCCCTCTTGTTGTCCCACCCTACAGCCCACTAATGTCGTTTCACTGCCCTCAGAGCATTTGGGGGGTCCTGAGCTAGATGAGACTTCTCTGCAGGGATGGGGAATGGAGTCTTGACCTTCGGTTAAATGCAGAAGATTTAATGCAAGCGTCTATCTTTACTCCCTCACAGAACTCCAGTGAAAACCACATTCCATAATGATGTTTTGAAGAAGGGAGGGCTGACAGCCTGGAGGAGAGAAGATTGAGACACATATCCTCTCTCCTTGAATCTCTGAGGGGAAGAGAGAGCACACATGCTGGGTGGCCTCCAAGCGGGGGGTCCAGAGCAATAAGGAGGCTACAGAGAGACAGATTTCAGCTTCGTAAGAAGTTGTCCAAGAACACAACGGATGACCTGTGAAGAGGGGAGAATCCCCGCACCAGCAGTGGGCAAGCTAGGGCTGGCTGGCCACTGCTGGGGACAAGGAGGGACTCCTGCTTAGGAGGGAGTTGAACACATGACTTGTAAAGTCCCTGCAAATTCTATAACCCAGTAACTTGCTTCTTTTTATAACAGTTGGCAGTCAGAATCCAGTGGTGCTGTGCAATCACTGTTGAGTTAATAACCAGAGCTGCCCAATAGACACACCCATCGGGCAATTTCTTTTTAGGACACTGAAATAACCATCTTAACAGTCTGATGAGCAATCAGTTCCACTGACCCTTGCCTTGTAAAAGAAGGTTCGAGATGATTCACAGAGCAATCATGACATGGCAGATGGGACAGAACTCTCAGTCCCAAGGGCTCTAAACCCTCCAAAGACAGCAAAGTGCTGGATGGGGCAACTGCAGGGGATCTGGCCACGGACTGTGGGCCTCCTTGGCTTTGCAGCAAGAATCTCAAAGGGGAAACTGAAGAAACACCCCCCACCCTCTTCTTGAATCCTGCCTTCCTACTCTTGCCTCGTTTTAAAGAGAAAGAGGGCAGAGTGTGGGTGTGGGCAAAACGGAGCCCACCAGGACAATGGCACCTGGAGGAGCAGGTCTGCGCCCCCAGCGGCTCTGAGCCTGGAGCTCTATGCCTGGCTCTGCTCCCTGACTTGGCACTTGCCCAGAGACGTGACTCTGCTGTGACCCCTGTACTCTCCAAGCAGGACAGACTCTCATTAATTCTCGTGCCATGACCAGCAGTGTGCTGTAACTGGACTAAGAGTGAGGGGAGGGCTGTGGCCAGGGTGTACGAGCTGCCTGACTTGGGCAAGTCGCCTCCCCTCCCCTCCAGGAGGTACCAGGTCCCAGCAGTTACAACTGAGCTCTGGAGTTAGACCATCTGAGTTCAATTCTAGCACTGCCCCTGATTAGCTGTGTGACCTGAGACAAGTTCCCTACACTCTCTGAGCCTCAGTGTCCTCACCTTTAAATTGGGGATGGGGGAAGCTGGTAGGAGGGGAGGGGAGGACCAACACCTACGTTACTGGGTGTTTTCAGCATTAAATTAGCTCATTTACATGAAGTGCTTAGAGCAGTGCCCAACTCATGGTATTATTATTATTATTATTATCAGCAGATGCTGAAAATAAAAAGGAGACAGCAATCCTCACTCGGCTGACTTTATAGGAGCAAACAAAATAAAACTCTTGAAAACAAAACTCTAAAGTTGTGTATAAGTGTGAAAAATCTGGTGTACAGTGCATTAAATCTCACAAACATTAGGAGACTGTAAGAGGCCAGCATTTCCAACCCCACTTGCTTAAATAAACGTTGCGGCTATGATACAACAAACCATGTGGCAAAGTCTTTAGAACTTCTTATCAAGATAGGAAACTAATTTTCCTTTTTATAATTTAATGTAATACAGCAAGCCAATATTTGAAGATACAGCTTTTTTAAAAAGAGTACCAATTTAACACTTTAAGAAAAACACACCCAGGCCAAATTTAGAACACTGATTACTACATAGACTGACAGGTATTGACAAAGAAAACGCTGTCCCTAACTTGTTGTGTGATCTCAGGCAACCCCCTTCCCTCATGGGCCTCATTACCACCTCTACCCACTGGGCAAAGGATGATCTCTGGGTGCCTTCCAGGTCTGCATCCCATGGACCTGAGATTTGGAGGATTCTTTTAGATCAACAGACATGCCTGCAACTAAAGCATTGTGATATTTCCTAAGCTGACAACACCATCTAGTGTGTGTGTGAGAATAGACACCAGTGACCAGGCAACCAGGACCTGCATTCTTATTCTCACTTGAATAATCTGCTACTCAAAATTTGATCCAGTGTGGCATCATCTGCGTGCTTGTGAGAAATGCAGAATCTCAAGGCCTATCCCAGACCTGCTGAACCTGAATCTACTTTTTAACAAGATGTCAAGTGATTCCCATGCACATTAAATTGTGAAAAGTACTGCTTTC